TTTTGGCCAGCTGGCTCTGAGGCTTTTAGGCCTGTGACAAGGTAGATCTTCTTGTGGAAGGGTGTGGTAGAGAGAGAAGAGGGCTAGCTACTCACCTCATGGCAGCCGGAAGCAAACCAAGACAGAGGAGAAGCCAGGGATAAGGTCTCCCCTCAAGGTACAAGTTCAGGGACCTACTTCCTGTAGACACTCCACTCCCTCCTCCCCTCTTAAGGATTTCCAAATTATGTGCCTATGTGTGCGGGATGTGCATGTGAGTGCAGCTGTCCTTGGAGGCCAGAGGTGTTGGGTCTCTCTAGAGGGAGGTTCACAGACATCTGCAAGCTCCTTATCATGGCTGCTGGGCATCAAACTTAAGTTTTCTGCAAGATCAGTAAGTTAAGTGCTTCCCCCCCCCCCCCCCCCAGCCATCTCTCTAGCCCCTAGGCTTTGCCTCCTAAAGATTCTACTGCCTCCAGCTAGAGGCTAAGGGTTCAACACCGGATACTCTGGGGAACATTCTGGATCCAAACTCTAACACACCGACAATCAGACCCCTCTGCCTCGGAGATGCCTGGATTCCAGAATGGCCTCCAGCTGCCAACAGAGACCTGCGACAGGCCACAGGCACCGGCAGGTGAGGCGGTGTGAGGGGCCGCAGACCCTTGGAAGCCATCTGCTAAGCCCTACGCAGCCTCTACCTACAGAAACTGCTACAAATTGCTGACTGCTGCAAACGCTGAAGAATCTCTGGAAACTGGCCTGGGGGCACAAGCCCCCTGCCTGGCTGGCCTCTTCTCAGGCACGGTCTGAGCTCTGCTTCTGTTTCAACATCCCCACCAGGAAACAGGGCTGGGTGAGCTCCGAGTCCCCTCCCATTTTAGCCTGGAGTTGTAGGCAGAGGAGCTCTGAGGAGCTGTGTGAAGGAAGGGAGGGAGACTGCCAGGTGGACAGACCTACATACCACCTGTACTTCTCTAGACAATCCCACTGAATTATTTTTCTTTCTTTTTGTTTGTTTTGTTTTGTTTTTTGAGACAGGGTTTCTCTGTGTAACAGCCCAACAGCCCTGGCTGTCCTAGAACTCACTTTGTAGACCAGGCTGGCCTCGAACTCACAGAATTCTTAAAGAGTTAAGAGTGTGGGGGAGCCGGGCGGTGGTGGCGCACACCTTTAATCCCAGCACTCGGGAGGTAGAGCCAGGCGGATCTCTGTGAGTTCGAGGCCAGCCACAATTCAGAAGAGGGCACCAGATCTCATTACAAGTGGTTGTGAGTCACCATGTGGTTGCTGGGAATTGAACTCAGGACCTCTGGAAGAGCAGTCGGTGCTCTTAACCACTAAGCCATCTCTCCAGCCCCCTATATCAAAACCTTTAAAAAAAAGTTTCACTGCCGGGCGGTGGTGGTGCACATCTTTAATCCCAGGACTTGGGAGGCAGAGCCAGGGGGAGGTCTCTGAGTTCGAGGTCCAGCCTGAGCTACAGAGCGAGTTCCAGGACAGGCACCAAAACTACACAGAAAAATCCTGTCTCAAAAAACAAAAAAAAAAAAAAAAAAGGTTTCACTATGTAGCCCTGGCTGTCCCAAAGTTCTGGAACTTCCTATGTAGACCAGACTTGCCTTGAACTCATAGATCTACCTCCCAGATGCTGAGATTCAAGTTGTGTTTTAGTTCATCTACCCTGTCTTTGGTTTCTGGGGTAATAAGTAGTGGCTAGAGCCCAGGGAAGAACGGAGCCAGGGCTAAAAGCTCCTGAAACTAATACTGCTAAGACTCTTTTATACCTCCCTGGGTAATTCTCTTCTGTGAAAGGGAGCACGAGGAAAATTTTGAAGCATCCTCAATCCCAGGATCCCAAAGGATCAACGATCACTTACATACTCAAGACTGTAGATATGTGCCATTCTGCCTTCTGACCAGAAGGTGGCAGCAACACCTTTATTTTTCAGAAGAACCAAAAAAGAAAAAGAAAAAGCCGGAGGAGAGGGAAGGAAAGAGGAGAAGGCGGGGAAAACAAGTACCTTGTTTTGTTGGCCTAGGTCTGAAGGTAGACAACCCAAGCACAAGGGAAAATCTGACATCTGCTGTCAGGATGAAAGAGTCTCAGGATGAGGGAGTCAGACCTAAAGAACACTGGTTTCCTAGCTGCACGGCTTTGAGCAAGTCACTTCATCTGGTTATCTTCCATTTATTTATTTATTTGTTTGTTTGTTTTGTTTTTTTTCGAGACAGGGTTTCTCTGTTTCTTTGTGTAGCTTTGGTGCCTGTCCTGGATCTTGCTCTGTAGCCAGGCTGGCCTCAAACTCACAGAGATCCGCCTGCCTCTGCCTCCCAAATGCTGGAATTAAAGGTGTGCACCACCACCACCACCACCCGGCTTTATTTAATTTTTTGAGATTTTTTAAATTTATTCTTTTTTTAATGTATTTATTTGTATTTTATGTACATTGGTGTTTTGCCCACATGGATGTCTGGGTGAGGGTGTTGGATCCCCCAGAACAGGAGTTATAGATGTTGTGAACTGCCATGTGGGTGCTGGGAATTGAACCTGGGTCCTCTGGAAGAGGATCCAGGGCTCCTAACCTCTGAGCCATCTCTCCAGCCCCCTTTTTATTTATTCTTTATGTGTTAGGGTGTTTTGCCTGCATGTAGGTCTGTGGACCACATGCATGCAGTGCCCACAGAAGCCAGAAGAGGGCGATGGATGCTGTGGAACCAGAGTTACACGTGAGCCGCTCGCTGTGTGGGTGCTGGGAATAGAACCCACCTCCTCCAGAAGAACAGCCAGGGCTCTTGACCGCTGAGCCATCCCATCAGCACCCGTCCTCCTTCCCCACACATTTTATTTTGTAAATAAAGTAAAGCTATATGGGTAGGATACTGTGATAATAGAATGTGATCGAATGTGTCAAATGCTTGTCAAAAACCAGGTGTCAGCCAAAAGCATACTAAGAGAAGCAGTGGGGTGGGCAGGATGACTTGGGATAGCCCCTAACTGGAGGGCTGGAGCCCTGGAGCAGTGAGGTGGGCAGGATGACTTGGGATAGCCCCTAACTGGAGGGCTGGAGCTCTGGAGCAGTGAGGTGGGCAGGATGACTTGGGATAGCCCCTAACTGGAGGCTGGAGCCCTGGAGCAGTGAGGTGGGCAGGATGACTTGGGATAGCCCCTAACCGGAGGGCTGGAGCCCTGGAGCAGTGAGGTGGGCAGGATGACTTGGGATAGCCCCTAACTGGAGGGCTGGAGCCCTGGAGCAGTGAGGTGGGCAGGATGACTTGGGATAGCCCCTAACTGGAGGGCTGGAGCTCTGGAGCAGTGAGGTGGGCAGGATGACTTGGGATAGCCCCTAACTGGAGGGCTGGAGCCCTGGAGCAGTGAGGTGGGCAGGATGACTTGGGATAGCCCCTAACCGGAGGGCTGGAGCCCTGGAGCAGAGATACTGAAGGGTAGAATTCAATCTCTGAGCAGCTCTGTAGGTGAGAACCCTGTAGTCTGACTGGTGGAGACTCTCCCTTGGAAAGTGGGATCCTGGACCCCATTTCTACTTCAGGGCTCCTTGGTCCCGGATGCCAGAGCCCAGAACACCATCAGGACCTTCTAAGTCCTGCCTGTGCCCCCAACACAGACAAGACTACATCTGCAGACACGTTGCCCCTCTGAGCTTAGGTCCTACCTAAGTGATGCCGGGAGGAGACCGTGGGAGTCCTGGGACTTTCGTGACAGTCGATGGCACACTAACCCAAATGTAAAGAGAAGCAAGCACTTGGGGACTCGTGGAGAGGAAGCACGGGGTGGGGGTAACCACACTTCTAAGTTGACTTTGAATCTCTAAGCTCAACTATTCCTCGCTCTTCAGCTGCCGCTGGGTCCTTAGATGGGAACCAAGGGCTGACTAGGGAAGGATCATTGAGGACACTGGCCTATCTTGGGGACATGGAATGAAGGTGTGCCCCAACCCTGGATCTGGACCAGAAAGGCCTCCAGCTAATGCTCGGTTACAAGGAATTAGATGTATGCCGTTGCTCCCGTTTCTGTCTGTCTGTCCTGTGGCAGAGGAAGGTGAGCAACATTTTTGAGCACCTACTGCGAGCCTCACCAGAGACTGTCACCAGCTCTGTTCTCCAGAGGAGAAAACGGAAGCTCTGAAGAGACAGTAACTCACCTCGGGGCATGTTGTAAATATCCAAGCTGGTGCTCTTCTGCTGGGACCACTCCCTTCACCCTGCCTTAGCATCCCACATCCTCAGAAATATTTTGCAAGTCTGGCCATCCATGAAGACTGAGCTCCCAAATCACAGATCCATGTATTCCGCTGTCTGGAGACAGCTTAGCACCCACAGTTCCAATTCCTCTGTGCTTCCCCCACTGTTTGGCTTTGCCAGGATCCAGCCGGGCACCTCTTTGCTCATCTACTTCCCACTTTGCTTATACACTACCTCTCCTCACCCAGGAAAGGGTCCACAGCACATAACTGACTGACACTCTTGCTGGTAACCTACGCCTCAATACTCACCTTTTTTTGCAACTCCCCGCATGCATGCGGCCATTTCTCAATAATCCTGCGGGCCAACCACGGAAGCAGAAGGAGCAGTAATAAAAACCCTGGCCAAGCACTAAGTGCTTTACATTTTATAGCTCATCGAATCCTCCCAATGATATGAAGTAGATGCTATTATTAGCATTCCCATTTATGGATAAAGAAACTAGGGTGACCCCTTCAATAAACCCGAAAGCACACTGCTCATTAGGTTGAACAGCCATGTCCTGAGCCCCAACACACTAAGGAAGGACAAGCCTGCCTTCCTCTCCAGCCATCAGTGAAGTGGTACTTGGCTCTGTCTACTTGGGGTCCAGCACTGCTCTTAGCCACCAGCGAGGCCAATCCAAAGGAAGCCCAGATCCTCCTGGCCCCGGAGGCTGGCAGCATGACAGAAGCAATAAAAACAATAGAACCAACTTACTTTTTCAGCTTTTACAGCGTATGTGATAAGCACACACATATAGTTATTCATTTAGTCCAGTGGTTCTCAGCCAGTGTGTCGTGACCCAACAAGGGTTGTGTATCAGACATTTACATTATGATCATAACAGGAGCAAAATTACAGTTAGGACGTAGCCACGAAATAACTTTATGGTTGGGGGTCACCACAACACGAGGAACCATATTAAAGGGTGGCAGCGTTAGGAACGTTGGGAAGCACTGGTTTTAGCTTCAAGGCTATCACCCCCACTTTACTGAGAGGGAAGGAAGGCCAACACTGAGGCTGAATCTCTGTGGCAGGCAGGGGTGGAAGGGACGCAGCTAGACTAATCGTACCTGTGACTTTTTATCATCTGTCTTTCTCCTCCAAGAGCCCCCAGGCCTGGCTGCTTGTCAGTAGGCACGAAACTTCCTCTGCTTTTTCTTGGCTGTGTCCCTCACACGGGCTGGCCCTTCCTCACTCCACCCTAGCAGAGCCCTACTGGGAGGTTTTCCCCTGAGCTGGGGGCTTAAGCAAGAGGCAGAGGTGGACAGAAATTTCACCTGTAGCTCCCCGGGTCAGGACCTCCCCTGTTCTGTCCAGCCCCTACCTCAGTTATTCTGGTCTCCAAGGCACAGGCCTGCCACCGGCTCCCAATGCTGGTGCTGGTCCTCCGGTGGCCTTCCTTGCCCTCTCCATGTCTCCAGGGTTCATCATTTGCTCTTGGAGTCTGGGTTGGACGGAGCCCTGAACCAATGGCAGCAATTTCTCAGAGCCCAGGACTGCAGCAGGAAGCGCCGTGGTACCAAGGCTCCCAAACCTCACCTCTGACCTGCCAACCCCTTATCCCAGCCCAGATGGAACCTTACCCCTCTCCACTCCAGGAGCTGGGGTGGGGCAGGCCCTGGCTCTGATTCACCCTGTCCTCTCTTCTTCCCAACATCCTTTTCTCATTCCCTTAGCAACCAAGCTAGATCCATCAAGGAGCAGGGCCTGGCAGCTGAGCTGGGAGAGACTAATAGCCCGGAAGGAAGGAGGGGCCTGGAGAGAAGAGGAAGGCTAGGGATGTAAGCCAGCGCTCAGGCTGGGCGTTGGCTCCGGCCCATCTCAGAGGACACACAGAAGTGGGGGAGCTCTGCCCTGCAGTATGAGGGAGCTGGCCAGCAGGGAGCCGCCCTCCCTCCTTATCCCAGTCAGGTGTCCAGCCTAGAACCCCAAACCTGCTTCTCTCACACCCATGACCCATCTGAGGTAGACCTGTCCTGCTTGAGAGTCCCAGAGTCCCTAGCGGCAGCAGACACATGGCTCCCAACAGACCTAAAAGGCCTCAGCATCCTTTCTCCTTCAGAGCATCCAAACTGCCTCTGTCCACTCCTGGACAGCCTGTGTCTGCATTCTGCAAGCTGCGTGACATACAAAGACCGATACCAGCCCTCTTGCTAACTGGTGTGTGTGTGTGTGTGTGTGTGTGTGTGTGTGTAAGGGGTGTAGTTGTGTATTTGTGTAATGTCTGTACACGCAGGCATCTGGGGCAGGCTGCACACATACATATTTGTAGGATCTACAAGGTGGCTCAGTGGTTAAAAGGCATCTGAGTGTGGACTTGTCCGAGGAGATCTCTCTCTCTGTCTCTCTCTGTCATCTCTGTCTCTGTCTCTGTCTCTCAGGGCACAGTGGGTGAGTACCCTTCCCATCTCACCTCCCTTTATCCACACCATTTCTGGGTACCTGAACTTCCTCAGCACTGGAGACTGGTGCCTGCCAGTCTCTTTGTCTCTCAGCCCTGGCAGCTGCTACCCCTCACCCCCCTCCCCTCCCTACTTCAGGAATTCCTCTGGTTCCCGTAAGACCTGTGACTGAGCCGCAGTGAGAGTGGAGGGGGAGAGAATCCGGTAAAGGCAGACAGATGGACTGCACACCACAGGTGCACTCCCCTCAGCCTCGGAGCTGGCAGACACCTATGAGCCCGACACCCTCAACCCCCTGTGAGGTGGCCACCTTGTTGAGGCAGGTGTTCAATCCAAGTTTGGGGGCTGTGTCTTTAAGGTGGAAACAGCAGCAAGCAACTTCTGCTGGACAAGGGCAGGGGGGAGGGGAGCTGGTCAGTCCATTAGCTGCAGAGCTGGCGCCAACCACCAGCCCTTTACCGTGCCCTGGGGAGCAGGCGGAGAGAAGCCCTTCCCCAGCCCCCTCTGCCTCAGCCCTCCTGTCCCCTATTTCTCTTAGTTGTGGTCAAGGAGCAGGCGCGGAGGGGAGGGGGGCAGCTGACAACAGGTGAAAAAGAACCCCAGTTTCAGGAGACAGGAGGAGGTACAAACTCCCCGGTTTAGGCCAGGCTAGCTCTCCCTCCACCTACCTCCCTTCTCATAGCCAAAAGCTTGCCTTTAACCTCAGTTCCCTCCTATTCCCTAATTTTTACCTCCTCTTCTGAGGGGGCACCCCGGGTCAAGTCAAGTCCTCCCACCCTAGGCTCCAGCGTTGGAGTCATGCTGGGACCCCCTAGGCCACCTCCATCCTGCTTGTCACATCCCTGATCTCTGCCAGCAACAAGGGGGAATCAAGGAGGCCGGGTGCCAGCAACCGGGAGAGGGAAGGGGTGGTGTCGCCGCTCTGCAGGGTGGGGCATCCCCCTCCCCACACAGTCCGTCTGTAGTCAGGCCAGTGGGAGGAGCTGTCGTGCCCCCCCCTCCCGCACCCCCCTGAGACCGCAGGGCTATAAAGCTGCCCCGCATCGGTCTGCGGCTCCTTCCCGCCCGGCCTAGCTCTGCCAAGCGCCGAATGCCATCCTCCGCCACCATGAGCCATCACTCGGGCCTCCGGTCCAGCATCAGCTCCACCTCGTACCGCCGGACCTTCGGGCCGCCGCCCTCGCTGTCCCCCGGGGCTTACTCCTACTCGTCCAGCTCTCGCTTCTCCAGCAGCCGCCTGCTGGGCTCGGCGTCCCCGAGCTCCTCGGCGCGCCTGGGCAGCTTCCGTGCCCCTCGCGCGGGGGCCCTGCGCTTGCCCTCGGAGCGCCTCGACTTCTCCATGGCCGAGGCCCTCAACCAGGAGTTCCTGGCCACGCGGAGCAACGAGAAGCAGGAGCTCCAGGAGCTCAACGACCGCTTCGCCAACTTCATCGAGAAGGTGCGCTTCCTGGAGCAGCAGAACGCAGCCCTGCGCGGCGAGCTGAGCCAAGCCCGGGGCCAGGAGCCGGCGCGCGCCGACCAGCTGTGCCAGCAGGAGCTGCGGGAGCTGCGGCGCGAACTGGAGCTGCTGGGCCGGGAGCGCGACCGGGTGCAGGTGGAGCGCGACGCGCTGGCGGAGGACCTGGCGGCGCTCAAGCAGAGGTCAGAGGGCAGGGCAGGGCCTGCCAGGCGCTCCCTCCGCTCCTCCCTTTCTTCCCCTGGGAGCCGACAGCCCCAGGGCGTGGCCGGGCTGGCCAACCCCAGCCGGTGCCGCAGCATCCTGGCCGGCCCCCTCCCGGCACTGCGCTCGGAGCGCCTAGGAGAAGTGGCCAAGTATTAAGGGGACTTTTCCCCCCCCTGTTCCCAGCCCGTTAGACGGGCGGGCTGAATCCCTCGCTTGAGGTCCAGGGCAGCTGCAGGAGCAGATGGGGGCGGGGTGCTGCATGTGGCCCGAGGGCTGGGAGGTGACCCGGCAGTTCAGTGTCTCCCCACTCCGCCTGCCAGGTTAGAAGAAGAATCCCGGAAGCGGGAGGACGCGGAACACAACCTGGTGCTCTTCCGTAAGGTGAGTGGGGGCCACGTCGAGTCCCACCACCCCATCTGCACCCCCAGCGGCGACTCCAGGGGGGTGGCATCAGTGGGTTAGGGGAGGCAACTCCGTGTCTCCGAGGCAGGCAGGGAAGGCCTGGCCCTTCCTCTGCCTGAAGAGCCTTTTCTCTTTCTCTTGACGACCCCCCCCCCTTCCCACACACAAAGGATGTGGACGACGCCACCCTGTCCCGCCTAGAACTAGAGCGCAAGATTGAGTCTCTGATGGATGAAATTGAGTTCCTCAAGAAGCTACACGAAGAGGTGGGTGATCGGGGTGTCTGGGAAGACTTGGGAGAGGCCTCGCTGCAGCGGCGGCGACCACAGGCATGCGGTGTGATGACAACCCCACCCTTTGCCCGGGCTACAGGTGGGTTGACTCCCACCCATGCGCCACCTGTTGGCGGTCGGGGTAGCTACACCCTGAACCTGACGACGGGCCTCGGGGCATCCCGGGCTCAGGTCTCAGAATCCTGGGCGCGCCGCACTCCCTAGCGCCCCCTTCTGTTTATGCAAGTGCCTCCCCGCCCCACACACTTCAAATTTTTTTTAAATTTTATTTATTTAATTATTTTGAGACACGGTCTCAAAGCCCAGATTGGTCTTGAACTAGTGAGTTTTCTGCCTCGGCCTCCCGAAAGCTGGGATTACAAGCGTGTACCTCCATGCCCGGCTAGGCATTCTTCTTTTCTATTAACAACCTCCACCCTTCCTGGCTGGTAGGAGCTTCGGGACCTGCAGGTGAGCATGGAGAGCCAGCAGGTGCAGCAGGTGGAGGTGGAGGCGACGGTGAAGCCAGAGCTGACGGCTGCGCTGAGGGACATCCGTATGCAGTATGAGAACATCGCGGCCAAGAATTTGCAGGAGGCAGAGGAGTGGTATAAGTCCAAAGTGCGAGAGCAGGGGAGGACTCTGGGGGGGCGGGTTCCTGGGGGTGGGAGGCACTGGGAACGGCGTGCATCCCAGCCGGACCTGTCTACCACGCCGCAGTACGCTGACCTGTCGGACGCCGCCAACCGCAACCACGAGGCCCTACGCCAGGCCAAGCAGGAGATGAACGAGTCCCGACGTCAGATCCAGAGCCTGACGTGCGAGGTGGACGGGCTGCGTGGCACGGTGAGCACTCCGCTGCTGCTGCTGCTGCTGCTGCTGCTGCTGCTGCTGCTGCTGCTGCCTGGACCGGTGGGTGGATGCTGAAGGACTTTCCGACGGGCCCCCTTCTTCTTCCCTTACCCCAGAACGAGGCGCTGCTCAGACAGCTGCGGGAGCTGGAGGAGCAGTTCGCCCTGGAGGCTGGAGGGTACCAAGCCGGTGCTGCGCGGCTGGAGGAAGAGCTTCGACAGCTGAAGGAAGAGATGGCCCGGCACCTGCGGGAGTACCAGGAGCTCCTCAATGTCAAGATGGCCCTGGATATCGAGATCGCCACCTACAGGAAGCTGCTGGAAGGAGAGGAGAGCCGGTGAGTGGCGCGGCTGCTGGGACAGGGAAGGCATGGTAGGGCACTGGGCCTAGTGAAGGGAATAACCAGGCTGTGTGTGTGTGTGTGCTTTGCCCGCAGGATCTCAGTGCCGGTGCATTCCTTTGCCTCCCTAAGTTTAAAGACGACTGGTGAGTCCTCTATGTCTGGCTTCCAGCCTGCATCTCCTTTGTACTTCTGCTCTGATTGCTTTGCCCACTCTCATCCGGGATTGACTCCTGTTCCTCGAGTAGTGAGGTTCCTGGCCTTCAGGGGTGGGAGTCTAAAAGGAGAGAATCCCAAACCTTCCCCTGTCCTCTCTCCTGTTTTCTCCAGTGCCTGAGGTGGAAGCTCCCCAGGACAGCCACAGCCGGAAGATGGTTCTGATCAGGACTATTGAGACCCGGGATGGGGAGGTGAGACAAATCCCTTGATCTGGGACCCACCATTTCTAATGTTTCTGGGACCTGATCTGGCCTGGCTGCAGATCTTAGGGTGTTCAGGGTACATGGTTCCTGGGAGAGACGCCAGATAGAAGGTGTGTGTGTGTGGGGGGGTGCACACCTGTGCCATGTGCTCATGTGGCGATCAGGGGACATTTTCAGGAGTCAGTTCTCTCTCTTTACTGTGAGTTTCAGGGATCAAACTCAGGTTGTAAAGTTTGTGTGACAAGTTCCTCTATCTTCGGATCCAGGGAGGGACACCAGACAGAAGATGAGTGGATAGCCAGGTAGTGGTTGCACACACCTTTAGTCCCAGCCCTCAGGATGCAGAGGCAGCCCTGAGTTTGAGGCCAGCTTAGTCTACAGAGTGAGTTCCAGGACAGCCAGGGCTACACAAAGACACCGTGACTTAAAAAACCAAGATAAGGCAAAGGAGGGGATAAACTGTAACCTCAGCAAGCTGTGACAGCCGGGGCACAACACGATCCCAAGGAGGGGGGTGCTGAATTATCCTTGTGTGCCTTGACCCAGCAGGTGGTGACAGAGTCCCAGAAGGAACAGCACGGTGAACTGGACAAGTCTTCTATTCACAGCTACTGAGCCCTCATCCGAGCTCGGACCCTGACCCAAGCCTACTCTATAGCTCCAGGCCTAACACTAGTGCTCATCCAGCCCCTCTCTGCATGCAGCATGATTCCCTCCCAGCCAAGCTGCAGCCTGGCAGCGTGGCTGGGCCTCTCCCTGCCCTGACACATAGATGTGACCCATAGCTTTCCTGTCCTTGTAAGAGGCAGATGAAGAAACCCAGGACAACAGGTCTGTTCAAGGATGCTCCCATGGCCAGTGGGGTGGGCCAGTGAGCCTCACTCTGAATCAAATAAAACTGCTACTGAGAGAAACTCCGTTGTATTTGTCTGGGGTCCTTTCTTCTCTGACTCATTTTCTTGGTGCTCATGATTCAGTGGGTCCTGTTGCGTTTTCTCAAACCTCCCTGTTCCTTCTCAACTTAAACAAAAAAAAAAAAAAATCTTTGTATGTAGCCCAGGCTAGCCTTGAACTACCTTTCAATCCTATTTCAATGTCTCAAGTGTTGAGATTACAGATATGTGTGACTATGTCCATCTTACTAGACGTTTTAATTGACTTTCTCTCTCTCTCTCTCTCTCTCTCTCTCTCTCTCTCTCTCTGTGTGTGTGTGTGTGTGTGTGTGTGTGTGTGTGTATGTGTGTGTGTGTGTGTGTGTGTGTGTAGGGGTGGCAATGTACAGTTTTGGCTTCTTTGTCAAAAATCAGGTGTTCATAGGTGTGTGGATTAATGTCAGAGTCTTCAATTCAATTCCATTGGTCCACATGTCAGTTTTTATGCCAACACCAAGCTGTTTTTATTACTATAGCTCTATAGTAGAGCTTGAGGTCAGGGATGTTGATGCCTCCAGAGGTTGCTTTATTGTACAGGATTGTCTTAGCTATCCTGGGTTTTTTGTTTTCCCACATGAAGTTGAGTAGTGTGCTTTGCAGGTCTGTGAAGAATTGTGTTGGGATTTTGATGGGGATTGCATTGAATCTGTAGATTGCTTTTGGTAAGATTGCCATTTTTACTATGTTGATTCTACCTATCCATGAGCATGGGAGATCTTTCCATTTTCTGATATCTTCTTCAATTTCTTTCTTTAAGGACTTAAAGTTCTTGTCATACGGACCTTTCACTTGCTTGGTTAAAGTTACCCCAAGGTATTTTATATTATTTGTGGCTATTGTAAAAGGTGATGTTTCTCTGATGTCTTTCTTGGCCCGTTTATCATTTGTATATAGGAGGGTTACTGATTTTTTTTAGTTAATCTTGTATCCTGCCACATTACTGAAGGTGTTTATCAGTTGTAGGAATTCCCTGGTAGAATTTTTGGAGTGCTTTTAATTCTAGTACTTGGGAGGCAGAGATAGATGGATATCTATGAGTTCAAGCCCAGACTGGTCTACAGAGTGAGTTCCAGGACAGCCAGGGCTACATAGAGAAATCCTGTCTTGAAAAACCAATAATAAGGCCAGGTGGTGGCGGCGGCGGCGGCGGCGCGGCGCGGCGGTGGTGGCGCACGCCTTTAATCCCAGCACTCGGGAGGCAGAGGCAGATGGATCTCTGTGAGTTTGAGGCCAGCTTGGTCTACAGAGATCCAGGACAGGCTCCAAAACTACACAGAGAAACCCTGTCTCGAAACAAACAAACAAACAACCCAACATGATCAAGTCACACTCAAAGTGGAAGACAACTTCTTGTAAGTTCTCTAACCAGATCAAAGAACTTTCTTTGAGTGTGGGAACAGGCAATGTTCGCCGGGTGTGGTAGTTAGTGCGCTCTTGTAACCCAGCCCTAGGTGATTGAGGCAAGAGACTCCCTAACTGGTTCAAGGCATTTGATATGCTACACAGATTAGCCTGGGAGGCATAGTGACAATTTATATCAAATAATAATAACAATAATAGTAATAATAATAATAATGACTGGTTAGTAGTCCACAGTTTAGATAACAATTCTTGGCTTCATTCTGATAAGAGGTAAGTTTGATGAGTAATGTAGTATTTACATAATCTCAATGTTCCCCAGTCCCCTATTCTTACTAATTAACAAAGTAAAGAGTAATTTACAGGGTGGGGGAGGGGAGATGGCTGGAAGGCTAAGAGCAATGACTGCTTTTCTGGAGGACTGTGGTTTAGTTCCCAGCACTCACATGGTAGCTCATAGCCTTCTTCTGGCCTCTGAGGTAACCAGGCACACAGATAGGGCAAAATTCCATGCACATAAAATAAAAATAAATAAATCTGCTGGGCGGTGGTGGTGCATGCAGAGGCAGGTGGATCTCTGTGAGTTTGAGGCCAGCCTGATTTACTGTTGGTGTTTTTGCTCTTTTGGGGGCCTGCCACCCTGCTCCCAAATAAATCACACACAGAGGCTTAATTATAAATGCTAGGCCTTAGCTTGGCTTGTTTCTTGCCAGCTTTTCTTAAATTAACCCATCTGTCTTTTGCCTCTGGATTTTTACCTTTCTCTAGTTTTGTCTACCCTTCTTTTTTACTCTGTGACTTGCTGTGTATCTGGGTGGCTGGCCCCTGATGTCCTCCTTCTTCTCTCGCTCCTAGATCTCTTCTTCCCAGATTTCTCCTTCTATTAATTCTCTCTGCCTGCCAGCTCTGACTGTCCTTTCTCCTGCCTCACTATTGACTGTTCAACCCTTTGTTAGACCATCAGGTGTTTTAGACAGGCACAGTAACACAGCTTCACAGAGTTAAACAAATACAACATAAAATAATGCAACACATCTTTACATCATTGAATAAATGTTTCACAGCATAAACAAAAGTAACACATCTTAAAATAATATCCCCTAACAATCTACAGAGTAAGTTCCAGGACAGCCAAGACTCTTATATAGAGAAAACTTGTCTTGGAAAACCGAAAACAACAACAACAAATCTTTAGAAACAGAGCAATTTATAGGACAGAAATCTGGCAGACAATGTTTCAATCAGGTCAAGTTCGAATGGGAACCACCTAACAGGAGGCATTAGGAAGAAGTCATGTGGGCCACCACTGCCTGGCCGGTGTTTGTTCTTAATGTTAATAAAGTAGACAATTCTGTATAATAATAGAAGTCAGGTGGTAGTGGGGCACACCTTTAATCCCAGCAGGTGGATCTCTGTGAGTTCGAGTCCAGCCTGGGCTACACAGAGAAATCCTATCTCAAAAAAACCAATAAATAAATAAATAAGAAAAAAGTCGGGTGGTGGGGGCACACACCTTTAATCCTAGCACTTGGAAGGCAGAGGCAGGCAGATCTCTGAGATGGAGAGCAGTCTGGTCTACAGAGTGAGTTCCAGAACAACCCGGTCTACACAGAGAAACCCTGTCTTAAAGCCTTCCCCCCTAAAAAAATAGTAAGAAAAACAACTCAACAAAATCAAGTAAAAATATTGGCGGCGGGCTGGAGAGATGGCTCAGAGGTTAAGAGCACTGCTTGCTCTTCCAAAGGTCCTGAGTTCAATTCCCAGCAACCACATGGCGGCTCACAACCATCTGTAATGAGATCTGGCACCCTCTTCTGGCCTGCAGGGATATGTGCAGACAGAACATTGTATACATAAAATAAATAAATCTTTTAAAAAAAAAATATTGGCGGCAATGTTACTGTTAGAGAGGAAGAACAGATTTTGGTGACTAGAGTTAACAAAGTATGTTTCTTTTTGTTATTGTTAAGACAGAGTCTGCTATGTAGAGTCTGGCTGGCCTGGAACTCACAGAGATCTGCCTATGCCTCCAGAGTGCTGAGGTGTGCACTGCCATGCCCGCTCTTCAAAAATTTTTAATGACTTCTTCATTTTTTTTATTTGCCTGCATGCTTATGCACTATGTACATGCCTGATGCCTGGAAAGTGAGGAGAAGACATCAGATTCCCTGGAACCAGACTGTTGCACAAATCCTAAATGGTCTTATAATAAAAATCTGGAGCCAGATATTGGGGTAAATGATGAAAGATCAGAGAGACAAAGGAACAAGCCACAGCCACTTCTCACCTAGCCGATCTCCATCCTCAGACTGAATGCCTCTGAGTCCTCAGCCGAAAGGGCCTAGTTCCTGTCTTCTCGTGCCTTATATGCCTTTCTCTGCCCAGCCATTTCACTTCCTGTCTCAAACCTCCTAGTGCTGGGATTGATGGCGTGTGTGCTTCCCAGATACTGGGATTGAAGGTGTGTGCCACCACTGCCTGGCTCTGCTTCTCTCCTACACTGGATCAATCTCAAGGAATCCAGGGTGGCCTTGAACTCAGAGATCCAGATGGATCTCTGCCTCCAGAGTGCTAGGATTAAAGGTGTGTGCCACCACTGCCTGTCCTCTATGTTTAAGTCTGTGGCAGCTCTGTCCTCTGATCTTCAGGCAAATTTTATTAGAGTACAACAAAATATCACCACACCAGACTTCCAGATGGTTGTGAGCCACCATGAATGCTAGGTCCTCCCACAAAAATAACAAGTGCTCTTAAGCTCTGAACCATCTCTCCAACACCATATAACGCATGGTACATTTTAGGCCAAGCATAGTGGTGTATTCCCTGAACCCCAGCTCTCTGGATGAACAAACAGGCAAATCTCTGTGGGTTCCAGGTTAGCCAGAGCTATAAAGTGAGACCCATTTTTTAAAAAATCACGTATTTCAAATGGTTACAAGATTTTGAGTGGCCTCATTCCAAATAAATAATATTTAATGGGTATGCTAAATAATTAAATCACCACAAAATTTATACACATTTAAAACCACCAAATATGTCCCAAATATATGTGTAATTATTATGTATCAATTGAACATAAAATTGGGCCAGTGTGATGGCTGTAATTTATATATATTTAAGAACCCAACTGCACATTTTCACACAAACAACTTATGCAAACACAGCTTAACTGGGACAGGACAAAAAAGGGCATTTAAGATTAAGGCAGCAAACTTATTGCTGCCGACAATATATATATTTTTTTAAGTCTCAATAGAACCTAGGTCTCCATTATTAGGTTAAGCTGGCTGATCAGCAAGGCCTAGAGATCTCCTTTTCTATGCCTGCTCAGCACTGAGATCAGAAGCATGAGTCACCACACCCAGCTTTTTATGTGGTCCTCATGCTTGCACTACAAGCACGTCACTCAACCCCCATATTTTTGAGACAGGGTCTCACTTTGTAGCCCTGATTAGTCTTCAACACGTTCCTTTTGCCTTTGCCTTCCAAGAGCTAGGATATCACTTCTTACAGGTTTTCCCTGTTTCTCCATGCACCCATTCAATCATTTATTCATTTATCCATTAACTTACTCAGCAAAGATTTAGGACTTTATAAACACTCACTGCAAACCACTGGAAATATGGAGGCAAATGAACTAGGGCAGCAGTTCTCAACCTGTGGGTTGTGAACCCTTGGGGTAGCATATCAGATCTCCTGTATATCAGATATTTATATTACAATTCATAACAGTAGCAAAATTAGTTATAAAGTAGCAATGAAATAATTTTATGGTTGGGGGGGTCACCACAACATGAGGAACTGTATTTTTTTTTTTTTGGTTTTTCGAGACAGGGTTTCTCTGTGTAGCTTTGCGCCTCTCCTGGAACTCACTTGGTAGCCCAGGCTGGCCTCGAACTCACAGAGATCCGCCTGGCTCTGCCTCCCGAGTGCTGGGATTAAAGGCGTGCGCCACCACCGCCCGGCTGAGGAACTGTATTAAAGGGTCACAGCATTAGGAAGGTTGAGAACCACTGAAATAGAGGTGCATCTCATCACCTTCTATCAGGAAAGGCAGAGTTTAATACTCATTGTATTCTCATTGATGAATGTATAATTACCAACTGAGCTACATACATGCTCCAAGTTAATGAACACTACCCGAAGAACACATAACCTGTTTGTCACACAGCTCAGAGGGTACAGAGAGCTGGTAACCAAGGCATCTTTCGCAGACTGAGGCAGCTTGTGTGTGGAAAGACTCCAGGAAAGCCTCCCTGAAGATGTAACAATGGATATTAATTTGGAGGCATAACTAGGCAAAATGAGAGCAAGGAAGCATTCCAGAGGCACTAGGGGAAGTATGACAGACCTGAGAACTTAGATGAGGTCATGGAATTAGTGTCAATGCAAAAACACAGGTCTCAAACTCAAAGACAGTAAGAGGTAGTTTATTCTGGTTCCAAATTCTTTTTTTTTTTTTTTTTTGGTTTTCCGAGACAGGGTTTCTCTGTGTAGCTTTGCGCCTTTCCTGGTACTCGCTTTGGAGACCAGGCTGGCCTCGAACTCACAGAGATCCGCCTGGCTCTGCCTCCCGAGTGCTGGGATTAAAGGCGTGCGCCACCACCGCCCGGCTGAGGAACTGTATTAAAGGGTCACAGCATTAGGAAGGTTGAGAACCACTGAAATAGAGGTGCATCTCATCACCTTCTATCAGGAAAGGCAGAGTTTAATACTCATTGTATTCTCATTGATGAATGTATAATTACCAACTGAGCTACATACATGCTCCAAGTTAATGAACACTACCCGAAGAACACATAACCTGTTTGTCACACAGCTCAGAGGGTACAGAGAGCTGGTAACCAAGGCATCTTTCGCAGACTGAGGCAGCTTGTGTGTGGAAAGACTCCAGGAAAGCCTCCCTGAAGATGTAACAATGGATATTAATTTGGAGGCATAACTAGGCAAAATGAGAGCAAGGAAGCATTCCAGAGGCACTAGGGGAAGTATGACAGACCTGAGAACTTAGATGAGGTCATGGAATTAGTGTCAATGCAAAAACACAGGTCTCAAACTCAAAGACAGTAAGAGGTAGTTTATTCTGGTTCCAAATTCTTTTTTTTTTTTTTTTTTGGTTTTCCGAGACAGGGTTTCTCTGTGTAGCTTTGCGCCTTTCCTGGTACTCGCTTTGGAGACCAGGCTGGCCTCGAACTCACAGAGATCCGCCTGGCTCTGCCTCCCGAGTGCTGGGATTAAAGGCGTGCGCCACCACCGCCCGGCTCCAAATTCTAATGACTATGCATTTGGTTACCCCAAGTTCCACTATTCCAAGGTGAAAGCATGGTGTTTTTACAAGAGTAGAACAAAGTAAGTTATAAATCAAGGCATTTTATTTTTTAATGCATTTTATTTCACTTTTGAGACAGGGTATTACTACCTAGCCTTGGCCGGCCTGGAATTGGCTATGTAGACAAAGCTGGCCTCAAACTCACAGGGACCCTGCAGGCCTCTACGTCCAGATTAAAGGTGTGCATTACCACAACCTGCCCTTCAAGACATTTTAAAAATACACGGGTGGAAACTGGAAGACGGCTCAGTGGTTAAGAGCACCTCTTGTACTTGTAGAGGACCTGGGTTTGATTTCCAGAACCTACATGGTGGCTTATAATCATTCATAACTCCAGTTCCTGGGGCTCTGATGCCTTCTTCTGATTTCTGTGGGCATCAGACATGCATGTGGTGCACATACATATATGCAGGCAAAACACACAAATAAAATAAATCTTAAGTAAAATAAAAATACACTGGTGGAAATATCAGAAAGGTGTGTTAGCCCATGTAAGGGAATCTCAACTATAGGCCTCCGATGGCACCTAATAGCATTTTTAGCTCTTTGATGGGTGGAGAACTGGGTTTTGTTAATACATCCCACAAGTTTAATACATTCCTCCTGTAGTTTGGATGGTAGGTGGGCAAGCAATGGCTCTGTGTGGGGGCTAAACACGGCCTCAGAGAAATTGTAGTTAGCTTCTGAGCTCCAACATTCCAACGGCTTCAGTCATTGAAGTTTTAATTAGCTTTCGTGGACACAGCTTCTTTTCAAGGATTCTCCTCACAAAAGGCAGAGTGCAAGGGGGCAGAGTGGCATGGCACAAAAGGTTAGGTGTGAGTGTGTTAGTCACCAAGGCACAGCAGTTACCAGATTTGCATTTTGGAAAAATTTCTCTAGCTACCATAAGAATGGATTCACGTAGACAGAATGACTGGAGGCTCCCGCCAGGGCTCAAGGAACTATTCAGAAAAGCAGGCAGAAAGACTGTAAGAGGGTCTGAAAACTGTAAGGCAATGGCTTCTTCCTGACACACACAGAACTCACAGGAACTGAGCCTCATGCACAGGGCCTGCACAGGTTCCAGCCAGACTGGGTTCCATCATTGAGAGGTGGAAGAGGACACGGGCTCCAATCCCTAAGTAAGAAGCTATCTCCAATTGACAACCTGGAAAGGAAAAATTAGTTTTCCCAAAGGGAGTCTCACTGGGTATATTAACCACACTTAGGGGTGGGCCATGCCAACCCAAAACTAACTCAATGATATCTATGTAAATTTTTTTGTTTCATATTGCTTTGTTTGGTCATTGTTTGTCTAACTTGTTTTTTGTTTGTATATTATGGTTTCCAATTTTGTGATTTTATGGGTGGGGTGTGTGTGTGTGTGTGTGTGTGCACTTCTAAAGCTTTTTTTCTTTTTTAAGATTTATCTGTTTATTTTGTATACAGCATGTATGACAACAGGTCAGAAGAGGGCACTAGATCTCATTACAGATGGTTGTGAGCCACCATGTGGTTGCTGGGAATTGAACTCAGGACATCTGGAAGAGGAGTCTGTGCTCATAACTTCTGAGCCACCTCTCCAGGCCTTTTTCTTTTTTTTTAATGCCGAATGCTGTTTATTGAAGGAGGGAAGAGGTCTTAAATACAGGCTTACGGCACAATGGGAGAACCCAGGAGGGCAGAAGTTCGCTCCGATGTTTTACAATCTTGCATCTAAGCTGTTAACACCCATTATGCAGGATACACAGACAAGGAACTTCCCTTCAGCATTCAGGAGGGTGGAATCCGGCAGGGAATTAGCATAGGGAGGATATCAAGGTCAAGGTCAGCCAGCAAAGCAACAGTTACCCAAAACGGGGGCCAGGATCCTACAGGTCCTTTTACTAAAAAATGAGCTTCTGACTTAGGTTGCGTGGGACGTCAGCAGGTCACCTTACCTGTCATGGAGACGCCTGCCCAGGCCACACAGGTGCTCTGTCTTAGGTTGGTGAGCACCCCCCCAGGTATTACCTGTCTCTGGTTTCTTTTCTTTTTCATTCTGGTGTGTTTGTTTTGTTTGCCTGTTTTTTTTCTTTTCTTTTTCTTTCTTCTTTTTTTTTCAAGACAGGGTTTCTCTGTGCAGGCCTGGCTGTCCTGGAACTGCCCTGTCTCTGCAGGCCACTTGCCTCTGTCTCCTGAGCCCACCACTACCAGCCTGTTTATTTTCTAGAGAAAGAAAGGGCATGGAGTTGGGTGTAGAGGATCCGGGAAGCTTTTGGGGAAAGGAAACCGTTATCAGAATATATTGCATAAAAAATTTATTTTCGGGCTGGAGAGATGGCTCAGCAGTTAAGAGCACTGACTGCACTTCCAGAGGTCCTGAGTTCAATTCCCAGCAACCACATAGTGGCTCACAACCATCTGTAATGAGATCTGGCGCCCTCTTCTGTATACATAATAAATAAATAAATTTAAAAAAAAATTTATTTTCAATAAACATATTAAAATAAACAAAGACTAGAGGGGTTGGGCAAGGAGACTATTTGGAAGATAATTGCGATTCCCTACATAAATGTGGTGGACTAAGGTGGTGATAATGAAATAGCTGATACATAAATCTATATATATGTCATCCATCTATATCTCAACATATGTGTATATATATATATATATATATATATTAAGACAGTTTAAGTCACTCGGGAGGTAGAGGCAGGTGGATCTCTGTAAGTTCGAGTCCCGTCTGGTCTACAGAGCGAGTTCCAGGGCAGCCAGGACTGTTAGACAGAGAAACCTTGTCTCTGGAAAAAACAAACAAAAAAAGATAGTCTTTCTATTTTTAATTCAGGGTCTCATTATTTAATCCAGGCTGGCCTAATACTCGCTTTTTAGCGAGTATGCTTCCAATCTGACTTGATGACCTAGGAGCTCAGAGATCCGCCTGCCTCTGCACACACCACTTTATATGGCTAAACAGCTGAATTCTAAAAAATGCTTAAAGGCAAAGTCTGTAGGCATGAAAAGAAATGGGGTATGGAAGGGGCAGTCCGGAAGCAGTTAACGAATAACGCCTATGTTCCTGGCTTGTGTATCGGCGTCCTTTAAACTTCAAACTGTTGTCTACGCAGGGCGCGTGCAATCCTAGCACACGGGAAGCTGAGGCAGGAGGCTGCGAGTTTGAGGCCCGTCTGGGATAGAGTGAGATTCTGTGTGTGCGGGTCGGGGTGAGACATTGTCTGCTTTCCAATCTCCATCCAGCAGCCTCACACCTGCATGCCAATGAGCAGCAGGTGAGCCCTCTCTCCAGATTAGGGAAAGGCGACCTGAAGGTACGGAGACCCCAGCCACGAGGGGGGAGCCCTTCAAGGCTGCTCAACCGGGCTCCAGCCACACCGCGTCTAACCACACCCACCAAGCTGTGGGGTCCGAGGGGACAAACGATTCCTTGGCTCCTGGTTCCTGCTGTGCTCAGCGCAGCCACCTCCGGCCCTCTCGCCCATTGGGGCAGTTCCTCATCTCCCGCAAGCCGTGCCCACGCTTCCCGGAACAGCCCCGGCCCTGCACCGCTACGTTCACAGTATGGTCCACAGGACTCGATGACCACCCCTTCCCACAATCCCGCGGTCCTGCTTGGCTGGCTCCAGGTCTCGCGAGAGGACGATAATGCCCGTTGCAGCCCAGATTCGCCTTCCCGGGCCTCGGAACTGCATCCTCCCTGGCTTTCCTCCAATCCTGCCGCTCGCGCTCCGCTCTCGGATTGGCTGAGAGAGCCGGTCAGTTTGTTTCCCAGCCAGAGAGCAGTTCGACAACTTCTCCGTCTCTGGCCCCGCCTTCGGCCGCTGCGGATTGGATGGCCGGGCGTGACGTCACGCGACCCCGCGTCAGCGGGGACTGGCCAATCACAAGCCTGGCGTATTTTACAAACTGGGGAAGCAGCCGCAGCCGCAGCCGCAGCAGCAGCAGGAACCCAGAAAATCGGCGAAAAGGCTGAGAAAGCCCAGGTGGCCCCGAGGGGCGCCTGGAGAGGTGCGGCACGGGATCGCGGAGGGGATGAGTCCTGTCGCGGTTCTTAGGGAGGACAGCAGTTTGGAGTCCTGGGGCGAGATAGCAGGCTTGGCGTGTCTGGAGGAGTCAGCCCCAGGAGCGGCGGCCTTGCTGCCGGTGCGGGCCTCTAGGCGCATGGATTGGGACCAAGGTGGAAGAATCAGGGATACCAGCCCCCATGCCTTGCTTTGGTCCTCAGTCCTGTCTGCCTTCTCCCGTCTCCATTACAGCCGCCATGACTACCCTCCACACTAGGAAGGATCCCCTCCTCCGAGGTGTATCTCCCACCCCTAGCAAGATTCCAGTACTCTCTCAAAGATGCCCAGATTTTTCATCCGTCAAGTCGTGCTCTCTGGACCAGGAGAACCAAGATCCAAGGGTAAGAGGGGCTGGATGGGTGAAGAAAGTAATAACATGGAGGCAGCTCACGTTAGCAATGCACCCCAGTGCTGAACCCCAGTTTCTTGTTCCCCTCAGAGACTTGCCCAGAAACCACCGCTCAGTACTCAACGTCCGCTCATCGACTCGGCAGGCCTCAGACCGAAAACCTCGCACCAGACAGAGAAATCACAAAGATTGGGGGGGATCACTCAACTCCGGAACCCTTTGGAAGAACTCAAGCCTAGCTCTGGGGGACCAAATGTGGGGTTTGTGCCTCACCCCCAGACAGGTACCTGTTGGAGGCCTGGGAATAGCCTACTTGGTTGAGTGAGAATGGGAAAGGCAGCGTGGGATTTGGGGGGTTTGCACACCCTCTGGTTTCTTGCATACTGTAAGAGTCCTAGACCCTGTCCTGAAAGCTCTTTGCTCTAAGAAGCCATCCCTTTACTTCAGCAAAATGTCATCTGTTGCCTGTCATGGTGGCAAATGCCTTTAATCCCAGCACTTTAGGAGGCAGATGCAGGTGGTCTCCGTGAATTCCAGGCCAGCCTGGTCTACATAGCGAGTTTCAGGCCAGCCAGGGCTACACAGTGAGACAGTGTGGAAGCCTTTTCAGCAACCCAGTCACGGTCATTTGCTCAGTGTTGTGCTGATTCTTTATAATCTGTCCATATTTCAGCTTGAACGCCTTCCTTTTCAATAGCAGGTATGTTTTTAAAAGATTTTATTTTCATTTTCTGTGAGTCAATGTAAGTACAGCATCCATGGAGATCAGAAGAGGGCATTGGATACCCTAGAGCTGAAGTTATAGCCAGCTGTGAGCTGCTGTGTGGGTGCCAGAAACAGAACCCATGTCTCCCAGAAGAGCAGCCAGTACTCTTAACTGCTGAGCCACCTCTCCAGCCCCTAAAAAAGGATTATTTTGAATTATGTATGTGTGTGTGGGTATGTGTGTGTGAGAGCAGGTGCCTGCGGAGGCTGGAGCCATTGGATTGTCCTGGAACTGGAGTTATAGGCCACCTGACGTAGGTGCTGGGAACCTATGCAAGAACAGTGTGTGTGTGCTCCTAATCACTAAATCATCTATCTCTCCAGCCCCCAGTGATATCTTCTGTAAGACAAAAACTTGGTTTATCTTTTGCTCCAATGGTTAGAGTAGTAGCTTACATGAAATTCTTCAGACATTTGATGAGCTAGATTCAATCGAAAGATCTCCTCCCCCATCTCTCCCTCCCCCATCTCTCCCTCCCCCATCTCTCCCTCCCCCATCTCTCCCTCCCCCATCTCTCCCTCCCCCATCTCTCAAGGTCTTACATAGCCCAGGCTGGCTTTGAGCTCTGTATGCTGGGGAGGCTGGCCTTGAACACCTGGTTCTCCTGCCTTGGTACCCTAAATTCTGGGATTGCAGGTGTGCACCATGAGGCCTGGCTTGGACATGTTTTGCTCAGGGTTGCTAGGGTCCCCTGCCCCTCAGCCTCCCCTGCCCCTGTTCCTTCTAACCCTGTCTCTTCCCTTTCAGAGGCTACAGGGGCTATAGATTTTGTCGCTGACCCTGCAGCCCTGGCCACCATCCTGTCAGGTGAGGGGGTGAAGAGCTGTCCCCTGGGGCGCCAGTCCAGTCTGGCTCAGAGAGTACTAGTTCGAGGGAGCAAGGGAGGCACCACCCGGAGGGGCCAGGTAATGAGAAGGATGTGAGGCCAGGCTGGGGTGGACTTAGGTGGGAATTCTGAGCTCTTGTTGATAGCCTCTCTTGGCATCCCAGATTGCTCGGTCTTCAGCATACCTGGCTCCCAGGACCCCCGTCCACCAACCAGATCCTGCCAGGGCTTCCTGCTTCTCAAGACTGGAGGGATTAGGACCCCGAGGCCGCACTTTGTGCCCACAGAGGTTAGAGGCTCTGGTGAGTACCCTTGAGGGGCTGACACTTAGTCTTTCTAGAAACTTCTTCCAGGGACAGTACCTCAAGATGAAAATGGGTTCTGTGGGAGAGGTGGGTTGGGGTTCGTGTCTAGTTTGATGCCTACTTTTCACTCTGCTTTCCTGTCTTGCTTTGGATCAGAATCCACCTTCAGGACCTTCCTTTCATTCCTCCACTCGCCCCAGTTTACAGGAACTAAGAAGAGAGACATGTGGTAACAGCAGGTAAGGAGAGGGTGTAGATTCCCTTTCAGCCCAGGAGGGGATGTGCAAAACAGGTCAGGTCAGGCCCTGGAGCAGGGGTCAGGCTTTCATAGCCAGGCCTTAATATGAAGGAACAGAGGGATAGGCAGGTGAGATGCTGTTTCTTTTGGCTACAGCATAAACTGACAATAAGTGGGTTTGAGTTGAACTCCTGACCCTTAACCACAGCTAGTCGTCCAAGCTTGTCTTACGTATCCGAGGTCTGTAACAGCGGGCCAGGATAACATTTGTACCACTAGAGGCTGTTGTGAGAATGCCATGAGATGCTGTTTGTAAAGCACTTAGCAAATGCCCAGCCTTGCTTGACTCTCAGGGATGGCTGTTGTACTTACTGTCAGCAGGACGTCAGCAAGCCAGCCCTCCAGATCGCTCCCGAAGACCCCCGCTCAGCCTGGTGAGTGTGTCTGGATCTAGAACAAAAAGGCAAGGGTGGGTTAACTGGCTGCACCAGGAACGAGACAGGAAAAAGGTCAGCAGGCCTTAGGGAGCGAAAGCAGGGTGAGGCGGCGGAGAGGCGGGGAGGCTAGGTCGGAGGAAGTGGGAGTTGGTGGTGGAGTGCTTGCCTGCCTGTCACATCCCAGAAACACACACTCATACACACAGAACAGGGGCCGAGACCGCCTGCATAGGTCAGAGGCGGGCCTAGCTGTCCCGTGTCTCTGTTCCTGCCCTCTCCCTGCAAAGCTGAACTTCCACTGTGTTCTGTCCCAGTCCCTTAGGAGCCTTGATCACTTCCAGCCTACTCGGGGCATTTGGATTGATTGGTGTTTGCCAAGATATTACTGGGCTCTGAGAGGGTGCTGAATGGGTAGACTTTGATGTTCTGAACGCTGCAGCAAATGTCCTGTCTCCTCCTTCTTTACCCCTCACAGCAGAACCTGAGGCTGTCCCTCACTCGGGTGAAGGAGGAAGAGCCCTACTGGGTCTGGCTCAACGGGTGCCATTAAGAGAGACCGGAGAAAGGACGCACACCAGGGTGAGATGGGACCCTCCCGGGGTGGGGGTGGGTGTTCAGGAGATGCACTGGATCTGGGGTAGAGTCGGCAGACCCGGGACTCAGGATGTTATTAGGTCTTAGTTTGCTGGGGTTGGGACCAAGTCCTCTTCAGAGTGGATCTGACTCCCTTTATTAGGTGTCTGGGGCCTGGGGAGAGAGGTGACAGCCTGGCATGCATGTGTTACCATGGAATCAGTGCTAAGGCCTAGACACATCCAGTTCTTACCAATCAAAAATATTAATTCCTGCCAGGGGGTGGTGGCGCAAGCCTTTAATTCCAGCACTCAGGTGACAGAGGCAGGTGGATCTCTATGAGTTCGAGGCCAGCCTGGTCTATAGAGTGAGTTCCAGGAAAGCCAGGGCTACACAGAGAAACCTGTCTCGAAAAACCCACAAAAACAATTTCCTTCAATTATTTACTAACTGGCTCTTGAATGCAGCCATGATTCTAGGTTCAGAATATACATATTCCAGAAGAGGGAAGCAAAAAAAAAAACAAAAAAACCCAAAAATATAAAATAAAATATAGGATGTCAGGAGGAGATACCGTGTCTCTAAAATTAAATACTTAAGTCACTGAAAGGATTTGGGAGGGGAAATTGGTGTCATAAATTGGTAGTTTAGAGCCATGCATGGTGGTACGTGACTGTAACCCAGCTCTCTGGAGGCAGGAGCATTGCAAGTGAGAGGACAGCCTGGGCTGCTCCACAGGGAATTCCAGGACAGCCTGGGCTAGGCAGCCAGACCCTGTCTTTAAAAGTAAAAGATGGTGCCGGGCGGTGGTGGCACAGGCTTTTAGTCCCAGCACTCAGGAGGCAGAGCCAGGTGGATCTCTGTGAGTTCGAGGCCAGCCTGGACTACAGAGTGAGTTCCAGGAAAGGCGCAAAACTATACAGAGAAACCCTGTCTCGAAAAACCAAAACCAAACCAAAACAAAACAAAACAAAAAACCAAAAAAACAAAACTAGAAGGTAGGTTTTAATAATAGATTAATATTTAGGACCGGTAGCTTAGCTCACATTGGCCAACTTATAACTGCCTATGATTCTCATCTCAGGGGATCTACTGCCTTCTCTGGCTTTCATGGGCACCCAAACACACCTACACATACATTTAAAAAAAATATATATTTTTTTAATGTTTTTTAAAAGGGATGCTAATCACTCTGTTTTTACAAAATATAGTTTGACTAGGGCACGGTCACTGAGAAGATGAGTGAAGACCAGGAGTTGAGGACGTGAACCATACAGATAAAAAGGGGAGGCCATAGAGTTATTGAACCAAGAGGGCTGCAGATGCGAAGGCCCTGGGGAGAGGATACAGCTAGTGCTTGTGAGCCGGCAAAATAGGCCAGTGAGATGGAAGCCTAGGAAAGAGGGAGAGGTGATGAGTCACAGTGGCAGCAGGTGAGAGGGACTAAGGAACACACCAGTGTGACTCCTTGGCTCCTTCGTGGGCTGAATGGAAAGCCCAGGGGAGAAAGTGTGAATGGGGAGAGGTACTTGGTTTCCCTTAAAAGCACCATGCAAGTACTGCACATGGTGGCACACACCTGCAATCCCAGCCTTGGGAGGTAGAGGCAGGAGGATCACAAGTTCCAAGCCGGCCTCTTGGCTACATGAGAATATATATATATTCTGCTGCTGTGGGGAGAACAAGGCATAGGAAGGTGAATCCAGAAAGGCCACTCTTCCTGCCTCTCTCCTCCACGGGGCGATGGCGACACCCACGCAACCCCTTCTCCTGCCCCTGTAGCCCAGCTCATGCCTGGCCATGTAGTGTCACCCTTTGTCACCAACCCCTCACCTTTAGACGGGCTCAGGGTGTTCTTTCCCCAGGCCTCTCAGCTGTGGTTTGTATCGACAGCTCTTGGGCTGGGCAGGAGCAGAAGAGTCTGGCTAGAGAGCCCCGCTCACCCCCACGTCTCTCCCCAGACCGCATATTCATCCTTGAAAAAGATCAACATTTGGTCGAAGACCCACTTCACACCGCTCCGATCATTACCCAGAGTTCAGCAGCAGGTAACAGAACAGAGGAGGCAATGGGTGTGGGCCAAGACGAGGGAGGGAGGGAGGGAGGGGGCAGGCACTGTGGGGGTGGGGGCCAAGACTAGGGAGGGAGGAGGGAGGAGGCAGGCACTGTGGGGGTGGGGGGTTGGTAGTAAGACAGGTGAGAGGAGACTATGTCCCACCCATGGGTGACCTGTCCTGTCTGGCGCAGGCCCAGTGGCCGAGTGGTCTCTCCCCTCATCTGTCCCCTCATCGCTCCCCTGAAGAGCCTGCCCTGCCCTGGGTAAGTGTCCAAAGCCTTCCTGTACTGAGGTCTGTGATGCTGTCCCGCTGGCCTGGAGGGTTGGCAGCCCTGTGATTTGAGGTAGGTGTACCGTCTAAAGAATCTGCCTTCCTCTTGCCTCTCCATCTGCCCTTCTTATCCTATGTTTAGAATGTCTGTCTGTCTGTCTCTGTCTCTTGTCTTCTGCTAGTCTGAGACTTTGAAGAAATTTCTTGTATGTATGTTTGAACATCTCACCAACCTGGGCCTCAAACTTTTGATTCTCCTGCCTCAGCTTCTTGAGAGCTAGTATCACCTCTGTTACAGGCCTGGACTACCATACCTGGTTTTTAGAGCCACCAGAGAGCTTTGACCCATTCCTGGAGAGGGTGTGGGCAGTCTCCCCGTCTTAACTCTGGTTTTCTCACCCGCCCCCTTCCCCTCTGTGTGGCAGGAGCAGATCGTTGTAAAGCTGTTTGACCAGGAGGGTCGCAGCATGTTACAGAAGGGATCCCTGGCAAGCACTTCTGGCCCTCACCCCAATAAAACCCCCAACCTCCAGGAGCTAAAGATGCAGGTGGGCCTGTAGTGACGGCACCTTTGATGGCTTCTGCACCATGAGAAGACTGGCGGGGGGAGCCGGGAGGACAGGTGGGGGAGACGACAGTGTGGGGAGACCCCGTGGACACAGCGGTGACACCCTGGGATGCTCTCTCCCACCGCAGCGCATCAGTGTTCTACAGCAGCTCCTGCGACAGGAGATAGAGGAGCTGGCAGTGGGCAGAGGTGCCCCTCTTAATGGAGGCTCTGCTCTAGAGATGACCGAACTTCAGCCCCAGCTGGCTGAAATTTCTAGAACTCTGACTGCTCCAGAACACAATTCTGGAACTTCCCTTCCCGGACTGTCAAAACACTCTGGTGTGACAGGATCATACCTTGCAGAAGAACGTGAGGAGCCACAGGCTTGCCCTGGAGAGGAGACTAAGGTGGTTCAGCCCAGCTCTACCACAGAACCAGAGCCCCTAGTACCATGCTGGATAGCTGGGCCGGAGCCCCCAGAGCCCCCAGAGCCTTGCCTTCCGGCACTGCCTGGACCCCTTCTGCCTCATTCCCAAGGACAGGCTGGACCCCTTGGGGCCTGCCCTAGGATAGAGCTGAGACCTTCGGCAGCCTGCTCTCTGGAAGCTAGAAATCCAAAGTGTAGCTCACAGGCCTGTTGCAGTCAGAGGCCTCCAGCAACCACCAGCTTGACCTTCTCTTCACAAAGCCCACTCTGTGCCAGCCCCCCTATCCACTCTCTCCAGTCTTTGAGGTCCCCAGCAGGCCAGTCAGGTAAGGAATTGGCTGGGAAAGGGTATGAAGCAAAGCTTCCATGTCTTTGGGAGTGGGCCCTCCCTTGCACTGGGCAATGCTGTGCTTGCTTTCTTTCTTTCTTTCTTTCTTTTTTTTTTTTTTTTTTTTTTTTGGTTTTTCGAGACAGGGTTTCTCTGTGTAGTTTTGGTGCCTCTCCTGGATCTCACTCTGTAGACCAGGCTGGCCTCGAACTCACAGAGATCCGCCTGCCTCTGCCTCCCGAGTGCTGGGATTAAAGGCGTGTGCACCGCCCGGGCAATGCCACGCTTTCTTTCCTCTGGCCCCCATTGAAGGGCTCTCCTGCCCCATGCTTCTAACTGGCTGTGCTGCTGGGGGAGGGGAAGAGTCAGCCCCTGGAGAGACTGTAACTCCAGAGGGTCTCTAAATTCTCCATGGCCTCCAGGCCCCAGCAGCCTGGCCCCTCGAACTCTGGCTCTGAGGCAGCGCCTCAGAGCCTGCCTCACCGCCATCCACTGCTTCCATGAGGCTCGCCTGGATGATGAGTGTGCCTTCTACACTAGCCGAATCCCACCTCCTGGGCTCACTCGGGTCTGCACCAACCCTGTGGCCACGCTGCTTGAACGGCAGGACGCCCTGGTGAGCCTTCAGTTACAGCCAGACCACACTGCCCAGCAAACCCACGGGACAGAGCTGGGGGCTAGCCTTGCTTCCTTTACCAAGAAGGAAGGGAACGTGACAGAGTCTCTCTCTCTCTCTAGTGTTTCATTCCAGTGGGTTCTGTGGCCCCACAGGACTCTCCATCGTGACTGCAGCCTCCACGGAGCTTCTGTTCTGCTTCGCCCATCCCTTCCTTTTTAGTCTTATTTATTGTTGCTCTGCCCATTGGACTGGGAGCCAACACCCTTTTCCCCTTGAATAAAGTTTCTGTAAACCGAGTGTCCCAATAGGGCCACTGCTGCTGTTGCTCTCCAGTGGTCCACATGGTGGCAGTGTGCTCCAGTGAGGGGACATAGTGCTCCTTACAGAAGCTGTCCCGTCTTCCCATGCCCGCCCAGCCACCTTCTCAGCAAACTCCTGAGTGCGTTAGCGGAAACTGTGGAGCCTGTTCTGAGATCAGTCTCACTCCAGGGGCCACCAACTATTTCCTCATCTAGAGTACCTCGGTCAGAACTCTTAGTTGGGCACCTGTGGCCCTAAGCTACTTGGAAGCTGAGGCAGGAGGATCACTTGAACCTAAGAGTTGGAGGCCACCCTGGGCCAAAAACTATGACCCATCTCAAAAAGAAAACCCACAAAGAGACCAATAACAAAGGCAGGCGAGAAAACTGCTAGAATTCTCTTCCGGGGCAGGCCCACTAAACCCAACTTTAGAATCTACTCAGCCTTCCACATCAGAGCTGAAAGCTGCATTCCTCCCCCTCTGGAGAGGCACGCCTGGCCAGGCTTAACTGGATAGATCAATGTCCTAGTTGAGGTTGAAAGCGGGCATGGGAGTCCTTCAAGGGCATCAGGCAAAAAGGGTCAGCCACTGTCCCCACTCTGTGCCAAGGTAGGCAGCCACACACAATCCCCAGCCTCACTTTATTGGAAGAAGTAACAGTATCTGTAGCTCCAGGACCTAGCCTGGAGAGGGGTGGAACGGGGACTGTACAAAATGGGTTTTCAATGCTAGGAAGGAAGTCGTTGGGTCCTCCCGTTCACGGGAAGGCTGTCCAGGCTAGAGCCTGAGAAATGGAGATGCAGGAGGGGGAGGGAAAGAGTGGCTACTGAGGTCCGGTATCTAACCCGTGTCAGTCAGTCTCCTCTCACCTAGACAGGCTCCCGCGTCAGTCCTTTCCCTCCCAAGCTGCCGGCGCGTCCCTTTGCCCTGTGAGTCTTTGATCTCCATTAGTGAAACTGTTCCCCAGCTTCAGGCAGAAGGGAAGGCCGTGACCTCCTCCGTCCGTCCGTCTGTCCCTCAGCGGCAGGGTTTCATTGGAGCACAAATGAGGTGGTCCTTCCCTAAGCGGCTCTCCTCTTCCCACCTCTCCCAGCCACTTAAAACCCTTGAGCCCCAAGAACCCGCCCATTTAGGTAGCCTGGGGAGCAGGAGAGTCCGCAGCCTCTCAGAGGATGGGGCCTTGGGTAGAGCTAGCTGGAGGTGAATGTGGATTGGAGCAAGGGGGCCAAGGGGCGGGCAAATGAGAGTGTGCGGGAAGGTGCTGGGCTCAGTCTGGGTAGATGATGAAGCCTGAGAAGGTGCTGTACTTGTTGGTGTTGCCGCCGTGAACTTTCCCACCGTCCAGCTTGATGAAGACCTCGTCACCCACATCTAGGTGCAGAATGACGCTGTTGCTGGCATAGTCGTAGTTCTGATCCGCATCCTGAGCAATGGCGCTGGCCCGGACCTGGGGAGAGGACAAAAACAGACCCATATCCTGATGCTCTGTGCAGAGCTCGGTTAACTGGGGGGTTGAGGCCAGTGGCTGCTGGAGCAAGTTCGGCTTAGGTATGGGCGATGGGGGCCAAACAAGCGTTCTCAACCTATGGGCGTCAAATGACTCTTTCACAGGAGTTGTGTATTAGATATTTACATTACAATTCACAACAGTAGCAAAATTAGTTATGAAGTAGCAACAAAATTATTTTATGGTTGGGGGTCACCTCAACATGAGGAACTGTATCAAAGGGTCACAGCATCAGGAAGGTTGAGAACCGCTGAGTTAGGAGACTGCAGGGTTTCTCAGACATGACTTGGGGGCACACATGTACCTTCTCTGGGCCTCTGTTAGAGCAATGGGGGTAATAATAATGGAACCCACCCCATGAGGTGGTTAGGATTAAATGGGTAATTACTCCTGGAGTGAGTTCAGAACCATATGCTGTATACAGAAAATGTAACTTAGAATTGCTATTCTCATGCTAAAAAATAAAAATAGCTTTCAGGATTCTTCTAGGAGGCCATGCTCAATTGGAATTCCTAAACTAGCTTTTCTGTGGGACTGGGGAATATGTGTATCTACCCCTGTCACACCTGTGTCACATCGGTAGGAAAGTGAACTGTGTCTCTCTGGCCTCCTGGGCCCCAGTTTCCCTGGGGAGTGTTCAGTCGGTCCCCCACCGTGTGGAGGGCTGCCTCTGGTCGGGCTCTCTGGTCTGCAGCAGTCACACCGCCGGCCCCTTCCCTCAGTTTCCATCCCACCGGGACCGGTTATTAAATCATTAATTATTCATCATTATTCTAATCATTATTTACCATTCCCAGGGCCGCAGTGCCGGCTCCGTGGAATACAGAGTGGAAGCTGTGCCACCCCACCCCCTCCAAAACCAACACACCCCAGCCTCCTCCCGGATTCCTGGCACAGACCAAATCTACCTACTCAGTGCCACAAGAAGACAGACACCAAGCTTTCCTTAGACCTTGGCATTCCCCAGTCACAGGTGCACTGGATCATGTGGCCGTTCACTATCAACCCCAGGAAGATGCTCAGAGCCTAACAGTTCCCTTTCCTCAGGCTCTGGAGGGAGGGACTTGCTAGGAACAGACCCCAAAGATGAAGCGGAAGGTTGAACAGGGGTGACATTCTCTTGGAATCCAGGGTCTTTTCAGCTATAGAGCAGGGCTCAAGGCTTAGGGAGCCCTGAGGAGTAGACCTGATGCACCAGGGCCCCACCCCCTCCGTGGAACATTCAGAGGTCACTGCTCGGTCCAAACCTTCCTCTTCCTGCACAGTATAAGCAGCTCCCTCCGCCCCAGCCTATGGCATCTTGCTAGTTCAAATGCCGGAGTCTTTTGGGAGAGCTAGTCCCTCAAACCTAGGTGGCAATGATTTTGACTACCCCCTGAAGCAGAACATAGTGGCATCCGAGAGGTTCCCAGGGAGGGTGTAGAGCCTGTAGACCAGGCCTCCTCTCCTCCTGTCCATTGCCTCCTAGCTTTTCCAAACCAAAATTCAGTTGGTTCATCCTTCCACCTATGTGGCCCCTGAGCCGGTTTCCCACAGCTGCCTACAGAGTCGGTGTTAGCTGAGGGCAAGACTTGGTCTAGGTTTGGCCCCAGGCCCAGGGGATGAACAAATAGGACCGCTACCTAACAGATGGGCAAAATGGTGTTTTCTTCCTTTTTTTCCGCCTTTTCTTTGAAAATCCAAGCTGAATGACTCCACCTGGGGGAAGATGGCCACTACCCAAAACAAGATTCCATTCTAATTCCTTGAAACCAGGTTCCCTAATGGCTTGTTCCATGCCAGGGCTGGGAAACCCACGGACTGAGAAGAGTGGCCCAGTAAAGACGGGAGGCAGCTCAAGAGAAGGGGCTGAGGGGTAAGGTAAGCACCAAAGACATGATGTGGCAGGCTACGGTTGGAGAGTTGATGCAGAGGCATGCTTTGAGTCCTGAGTTCCAGCTCTGACATCACTCTAACGCTCCATGAGACTTTGGACAGGTGACTTTCTTTTCCAGGCCCCCCATTCCTCCTCTTCTGATTAAATTAAGTGACCAATTGTTGGTGGCCTAGCATTCTTGGATACCTGATAGTGTTTCAGGGGAGAAGCTGGGTTGCGGCTGAGTGCAGGGAATTTTAGGAGGTCCCTAGTAAGATCTGGGGCTAAGGAGAGGGGTAATCAATCTCACCTGCCCGTTCTTCATCAAATCGGCCCACATGCTGGTGCCGTCGCCACCGCGCATGAGCACATGGTAAGCGAAGAAGTAGACGCCTGGCATGGGACAGGTGAACTTGCCGCTGGCTGCCTCGTAAGCGTTGCCCACGTTGGTCACCACGTCGTCAAAGCGCAGCACTTCATAACCCTCGTGAGGCCGCCGGAGACCCGCGTAGAAAGCAATTCGGGGTATATAGCCTGCAGGGGGCGCTGCCCCTCCAGGGCCTGGGCCAGGAGGACCTGGGGGACCTGGCCTGCCTGGCTCTCCGGGGGGCCCTCTGGGACCTGGGGGTCCTGGGGGTCCCCGCAGGCCTGCCTTCCCTCGGCGCCCCACCTCTCCCTTGGCACCTGGAGGGAAGGGAGGCGCCGAGGCGGGAGCGCCGTCGGGGCCTTGGCCTCGGGGTGCGTGGGGGTCGCACACCATGCGACATCGACCCAGCATCTCGTAGTGTGTTGGTCCGCGGGAGCTGTGCACCAGGAGCGGGATGGCTACCAGCAGCAGCAGCACCATGGCCACCCCGACGGCCGCGCCCGCCACCCGCTTGCGGCGGCTCAGCCGTGACGCGGCCAGGGCCAGCAAATCCTCCTCACTTTTGGGCGCAATGGCGGCGGAGGCCCGGGGCTCTCCGCGGGCTCGGGCCCCGGTGCGGATCTCCCGACGGCTGTGCCCGACCACCTTGCCCCGGCCGATGCCTCCTGTCACCGTGGAGCTGTTCCCCAAACCGGCGGTCAGAGTGGAGGCCTCCCCCGTGGGTTGGGCCAAGGACAGCCCTTGAGGGTTCAGAACCTGTAGTCTGATGTGACCCTCGGGTGCCGTTCTAACGATCCAGGGCGCCTGAGAGCCACAGCTTCTTGGACGGCTGGTTTCCCACAGGTCTAGGATGCCTGCTCTCCAGACAGTTGCTTTCTCGCGGATGGCGGTGCCTGGGTTCCCGGGCGCCCTTCGCTGATTTCTCCCGGCTAGACCGGGAGACCTCTCCCCGCTCTCCCGACGTCCCAGGCTGTGAGCTGCAGGGGGGCACTCACTGGACGCGACCTCGTCGATTTTGCACTTTAGCTCTTGGGAAGCACAACCTGCCTCCTTCAGCAGCCTTGGCCTCAGCCCTCGTCAGAGCCCTAGCCAGGCAGGCGTCCCTCTCCCGCAAGCGCTCTTCCCTCTCTGCGTCCCTAACCTTCCTCCCTGGCAGCAGTGCGGGTGGTGTGAGTCGCCGCGCGGCGGGAGCCACTATAAGCGGCCGCAGGCGGAGCGACCCCTGGCGCCCGGAGCGGGAAACGCGGGGGCGGGGCAGGCCGCGCCACCTCCCCCCACCTCCCCGCCGAGCCCCCCAGCCTCCAGGTTCCCTGCCTGCTCCCGGGGCTTTGCAGCGATTCTCAGCCCCCACCGTATCCTCACTTTCCACCCTGTACCTGGAGTTTGGCATTCTCGGAGCTTAGAGGAAGATGGACTCAGTGATGGGGTAAACAGGGATCAGGCTACAACGCACATAGAAGACCTCAGAGGGGACCGCGGAGCTAAACAAGGGGGGCGCGGGGTGGGGTGGGGGGCTCACATACAACAAACAGAAAACAGAAATAAAATGCGATTCGCCACCACATGTCCCCCGGTGCCCCCAACCAAATACCGAATATGGCAAAGGGTTCAACTGTTACTTGTTGACCAGAATGGGAACCTGGCCTCTAAGATTAGGGGATCGCATAGCAGCAGCAGAAGAAGGAAGAGGAATAGGAGAAGGAGAGAGAGAGAGAGAGAGAGAGAGAGAGAGAGAGAGAGAGAGAGAGAGAGAGAGAGAGAGAGAGAGAGAGACTGGGGAACAAGCAGGAAACGGACATCCGAGAAATCAGAGACCGAAAGAGACACGAAGAGACAAAGCTTCTAAAAGAGACTGACTGACAGCCCCAAAGCGGGAGAGGGAGAGACAGAGACAGAGAGAGAGAGAAGGGAGCCTAGACAGGTTGACAGATCTAGAGAGAAATGTAAATGGCGCGCTGCGGAGAGACACCCAGGTCCGTGTTCGGACTCCAATGTGACATATCAACTGTGAGGAAGACGCGGGGGCGGGGCAGTTCTGCAAGCAGAGTGGTAGGCTGTGGGTCTGCGTGTTGTGACAGTGCTGGATACTGTGTGTGGGGTGGGGTGGCCCCAAAACCCTGGCCTTGCTGTCCCTGGGTGAGCAGGGCTGTGAATTGTGGGCTGTCTTTGTGTACACATGTGTGAGGTTGCTTGAAGAGGGAATTCGTATGTCTCTCTGTCTTAGTCCTAAAATCCGAGACCCACAGAAGCCAGTTCTGTCTCAGGACTGAAGCCCTTGGGACCTCCTGGTGAGAAAGAACCATCCTCACTTGCCCTGTCCAGACTGGCACCACCCGAATCTTGCCCTGATACCAGCTTTCATCAGCCTCCCTCTCCAGTTGTTTATTATCAGAGAAAATCTAGAGAAATTAGGCTCCCAATAATGGATGTTTGGTTGATTATGCATAGTAACACAATTCAAATTTGGATTAGGTATTAGCCGCCAGCCTATACTGCCTAAAACGGTGACAATGTCTGCTTTCAGAGTGGCCAAGAAGGAACACTGGCTTTCATCAGAGTGCAGAGGGAAAGCCAGGAGCTGTGTCTTCTCAGGAAATAGAAGGTGAGAGGCTGGCAGAGTGGGGTTCAGGACTGAAGGATCTAGGGGTGTTTGGAGACCTAACAGTAGACAGCAAGAGAGGCCTCTTGGAGAGTAGGTAAACACCAAGAGCGTGGTGTGTGGACTATGCTGTGTAAAGCAGAGGGTACAAGGTACACCGGGTCACAGTTGTGATTCTTCATCTCTCCTTTCCTGTACTCCTTCCCTGGACCCCCTGCAACACCTGCAATCCTGAGAAAGAAGTGACTGGAGCTGGGCTTGGCCCCCGTTGGGGGTGGGGCAAGGTCCCGACCTGCCTGAAAGGATTGGGAGAGAAAGGATTGGCAGCCCGTGGGGGAAGGGCTCCTCCTCCAACCATAAATACAAATTTTATTCAAGGTCTTTGTCACCATTTGTCTTCCTCGGGGGGCTGAGGGCCATGTCGGCCCTGTGCATGTCTAATTCCTGATCTGCTCCCCCAGGCTGCATGATGGATGGATCAGAGAAAGCAGGTCTCCGTTCACACCAGCCTCCCCTGCAGAGCCTCAGGCCTCATCCACCCCAAGTCCCAACACCCCTCGCCTTTCCTCCCCACCGTCTCCTCCCTCCACTCAGCAGAGGCCCTCTCTGCCCAGCTCTTCACCCACCCCACTAATCCTAGTTCCCATCACTCCCCTTTGGATCCCCTCACCTTAGCCCCTTTCAGATGCCAGGCTTCTTCACTGGAGCATCATCTGCGCCTATCCTCAGCCCAAGCTGTGAGCAGCAGTGACCAGGCAGGGCTGCAGGAGGCAGCGGTTGTGTTTGGTGTGTGTGGGGTGGGGTGGGGTGGGGGGGAGCAGGCTTGGCTCACAGGGAGCCAAGGGGCCAGCTCTATGAATTTATTCATGTTCTGTTGCTCTTTCCCCACGCTCTGGAATGAAGCTGCCAGCTCACCAGGTTCTCATAGCTTCCCCTGCAGCTGTCACATTAGTCCAAGGGGGGACCTAGTTAGGGCTAAGACCAGTAGGTCTTCCTGGGGCCAAAAAAAAAATCTATGAGAGGATGCTGGGGACTGGGGAGAGGTCAGGGGCATTGTACCCAGAGCCTGTCTGGTGATTGAAGTAGGAAGTCCTGGTGAAGTGGTGAGCGTAAGAATGGGGGGATAGACAGCCAGGGGTGCAGCAAGACAACCAAAGCCTGGCGCAGGGGTGATGGGAAGAAGGTGAGGAGCGGAAGACCTCCGCAATCTCCTAATCAAAGCCTAGCCCAGTCGGAATCCTGCAGTAACCTCTGCCAATGACTCTGCACTTCCACTGTTCCTAATCCCAAATTACACACGTAACTCCTAAAACGAACCTAAATTCCATAACAAGACCCTAAGGGGAATCCTGCCTTTCCTAGAACCCAGGGGGTTCCCCAGAATTTCCCCCAAGGCTACAGCCAGGTGTGAGTCAGAGCGCTAAGGGCCAGACTTTAGATTAGCATGTGATTAGCATATGATTTGCATGTGTTATGTGCCTTCTACTCTGCAGAAGTTTTCATGTTAAATTTTTATGAAGTCTGGCGGAAAGGTCCTGGCTCCTTGAAGATTCTTTCTTTTTGTTCTTTCTCTCATACTTATTGTCACTGACCCAGACGCCCTCTAGGGAAGAAAAGGGGTGAGGGGGTCAGAAATAGAGAGGGTGGGAAGACGCCTGGCAGCATGGCTTCCTTCACTTTACAAGCCTCCGTTTCCTCATCTATTAAGACAGACAGAGAGACAGAGACAGAGAGACACAGAGACAGAGAGACCTCCTGGCTGGTGTCCTGTCGTCAAAATCTGAGAACCCATTCCCTTCCTCCTCTTCAGGGCCAGTGATACTCTCCCTAACCTTCCATGCTTTGCTCTCCTTTCCACTTGGGAGGACGCACAAGCCAGACACAGCATGGGTTGTCTGGCACTAGACCCCTTGTATAAAAAGGAGAGAACTCCGTCCACCTTAGAGGACAGGGCCTTGCATGGGACTGGAGAGGATGTGAGTAAGCGCTTGTTTAATGTGGGTTTTTAACATGTGAGTTCTCATTGCATCCTTCTGGCGTCCCTAAGAGATAGGTGCATTATCCCTATCTGTAAAAGATGAGGAAACTGGGGTCCAGAAGTGGGGGGAGGGTTGTCCAGTTACCATCCTGTAAGGAGATATTCCTAGAATGGGAGGGGGATGTTCTTAGAACCGGGGTTTTGATGTCTCAGCTTCCTTCCCAGTACGTGGAAAAGGGACAATGGCACTAGAGGCGATGCAAAGGCCAGAGAAGCTGGACAGGAGTAGGCAGCACGATTTTTACAGGGACCCAGCAACCTACATGTTGACCACAACAGGCCAGTCTTCACTTCACATGTTCCCAACCTCTGCTCTGGCTGTCAACTCTGGCACCATCAAGTTTCAAATACCGGCTAACAGAAGGCCAAAGTTAGTTACTGAGAACGGTTCAGAGAGAGAAGGGGGCCCAGAAAAAGGAGGGGATGAGAAACGAAGTAAGCGAGGAGAATTTTGCTTCCTGAGCCAAAGGGAAAATTGAAAGTCCCCTTGTGACCAACGGGGAAAAGCCGTTGGCTTGACCTGCACACACACACACACACACACACACACACACACACACAGTTTGCCTTCTTTTGGAGATTATGTGCCCACACTGAAGACTCAGAGGACCCCTGCAGCAGCCAGGCCAGGGTTTCCACTCATCAGCTGGTCAGTCCCCTTGACCTAGAGCCCCATACAGCCTTATTCAAAGCCCTGCTGGTTCCCCAGCGAGTTTAGTAGAGTGCTTCCAAAATGTTTATTAGACCCGAGTACTGATTTTCTTCCTTCCGCAGCCCAGCACATCTATCCAGATGAGGCTTCCAGTCGGCACCCTTTCCTCCTCCCTTTGAGCTGGCACCCCCACCCCTTGGCCCCTGTCACCACCTCTGGCCCTCTCCAGTGTCTGATTAATGAAATGTGGCAATTGGCTGCACAGACAGCTGTCATACCCCTCATTTCTCCGCTGGGATATTGAATCCCTCGCCGGGAGACCGACAGGTTAAAGGAGGTGGATGGGGTGCAGAGAGCTGAAGGAGGGCCGCGGGCTGCTGAGAGCTGACAGCCCAGGAGGAAGCGCCAAGCTCCAAGTCTCCAGGGCTCAGCTAAGTGATGTAGGCCCTAGGATACTCCTTCTGTCCGGGGGCCCCTAGATTTTTCTTTTTTTTATTCTTTGACAAGCAGCAGACTTAACCAGCTCCATACCCAACGCCCTCCGACAATAGCCGACCTCACACTTCTTGGCTTCACCCAGGGCCAACCGTGGCTTCAGTGAGCTCAGCCGGCAACGCCTGAGAGCCCGCGGCGGCAGCCCAGTGCTTCCTGCCATCTTCCATCCCTTCCCTCTCGCTCCCCCTCCTTCCTGCGCTCCCTCCCCCGCGGCCGCGGCCTTTATTAGGGATTCCGCGGCTGTCGGTCCCGCCATCCATCCTGTCCGCCAGCAATTAGGCGGCCAGACAAAGAGCAGCTTCGGATGGATGAGGGTCCCGGCGGATCGGAAATGTGAAGGGTCAGCGCTGCCGCCCGCGGCGCACCCCGCTCCCCCTTCCGCATAATCACCCGCTGCCCGTCA